CCAATGCATGAAAAGTAAAATGGATAAAAGAATATGTTGACAACTTGTTAGGCAAATACGAAGAGGGCTTCACACCAAACAGATCAGCTAAAGATCTTTCTGCGTTACAATTTAATTGCTGTCCAAGATAAACGATTTTATCAACTTGCTCAAGTTTGTATGATTTACATATATAGACGGTTTTATATGCTGTTGTTTACTTATTACGAGTATTAAGATATTTGCTTTGTAGAAAATACAAATTAGCAATTTTTTTGTCTAGACCTTCTGTAGAAGACAGTAACAATCACTTCTCTCCTAAGAGCCCCAGACACACTAAAATCTTCAATTCAACTATCAACTTTATGCCTAACACACATAACTAAATAGTTTAGTCGAGAACAAATCGCAATACCGTCATGATTCGACTAAACTATTAATTTGGTCGTGGATAAAACGATAGTACCTCAACCTAATTGATTAGTTTAATTACTACTTCTGTTGGGAATCATTTAGATTTAGAATAGTATTAACTAATTAGTTAAGTTATTGTCAAAGAATATCGACCTGAATTTTAATGTTTTTGACCTCGCCAACGCAATTCTCAGCCGTATTTATCTGGCAAGATTAAATATACATATTATATAAAAACAAAACAATACTATAAACTGGAGCTACCTGCCAAAAAATTTATATATATTTATATTACGATCATACCTAGTTTCGTCAAATTTTGTTTATTTTAAAAATATGTTACGTAGTACTGTAGAACGGGGTGACTTTGACTCTATGCGGTGACTTTGAAAGAACCTGAGTATTTTGTTTCAAGAGAGTATCAAAAGTACATTGTTATCGATGCACTCTTAAAGTTTTTGTTTTAGTTTGAAAATTTTTAATTATGTGACTAAATAAAATTAAATATACAGCTATAGGATTGCATGTTATTTTGTGTATATTGCCTTAATTTATGTTTAGTTGTCAGTATTTTAAAATATTTAACCTTTAAAGTTATTTCCGTAACTACTTCATGAAATTACATGATTTCTTATTCGGGATCACTTTGATACATTTCTTTTTACAGTTTTCGTGATGAAACTTCAAACCTTAATTAATTTCAGGTTTTCATCTTTATCTCCATGAAAAGCAAAAATGCCGTGAGTGCATAAACGAAAGTTGGGATCAAGAAGCTATAACATCGTTGACGAAACTCTTGAACATGCTCTGCTTCAAATAGTAAACAAAAACTTGTCTGTTAAGGCCTTTTCAAAAAGATTCACAATTCAGTATGGTACTTTATATGATACATACAAAGAGAAGCATAGAAATAAACCAAGGGGCCAAACTGCGTTGTAGCGTTGGAGGAAAATGTAGTCGGGGCCTAAAAATTCATAAACGGATTAACTCCTGGTAACGACTCGGTAACCTTTTTTTTTGAAGAGGCATAGTCAGCAAACCTCTAAACAAATTGGGTCTGACATTACTAAAGCTAACGCAGGTGTCACACAAAAGAAACAATATAATCATATTTCAATAATTTAAGAACAACTTCCTCAAATTGCCTCCATCGCAAGTTTTTAATTACGATGAGAAAATAACGTTAGTGGTGATTTGGCGAAAAGAAGATTTGCTATATAGAAGAAGGACCGAATACCCAAATAAATAATTATAGTAAAGCCTCCACATCAATAATGATGTACGTGCTGCTGATGGCACACTACTCCCTCCTTATATAATATACCGCAGTAAACATATGTGGGCTTATCTATGCTTAGTGGACCTTAAGAAGGCATTTAATCGGATTAAATTAAAGTACATTATCCACCTATTGTATGCAAGAGAGATACTATTAGGAATAATCAAAACGATCAAAAAATCTATCAAAACAACAAAATAAAAGTAAAAATAGAACAAGAATTAACTGACCCTATTGAAGCTGGCAATGGGATAAGACAGGGAGATTCCCTGAGCCCTCTATTATTCAACCTGATTATAGATAATATAATAAAATAAAGTAAGAACTAAAAAATGATAATTGAATGAATGAATTAAAATAATCTGCTATGTAGACGCCGCGATACTACTCTCTCAGAGTGTACAAAAAGGGTGTACATATGTGGGAAATTATGAGTATAATTTCAGTGTATGTGGACTGTATTATATAGGGCTGGTTCAAATAAATTAGGATATGTAGTAAAGGGTATACAGACAATAGCAAATTAAGTTTATACAAAGTCTTACCAATATTTCTGCTCCACACTCTCGCGGTTTTTCCGGCTTTCACTCGTGGTTATTCTTCATCCGCGAAAACTGTCCGAGCACCGGTTTCTGAACACGTGTTTCGCACTAAGATCACGATATAGATCACACTTTGCGTCTGTACACGATTTAAAATAGTATATGCGGTATTTTTCGCGTAACTAAAGCGGGAGAGAGATAATTAGCGATAGAAAACAGCCAAGAGAGATGCTGTTCTTCTTGATAAGCGAAGAGAGAGAGAGAGAGAGTGGACTGTCCTCAATGACAAATACCTGTACCAAGCGATAGGTAACAGGGAAGAGATAATGACTATCCCTAGCGGTAGCCGACAATCAAGAGGGCACGACTGGCCCTAGCGGTAGTCAAATCAAGAGAGCACGACTCGCCCTAGCGGTAGTCAAATCCAGAGAGAGTCTTTCTTCTTTGCTGTCTTAAAACTGTCTGTATTTGTAATGGAGTGGGGTTAAAATGTGAGTAGGAAGGAGTATCAAGGAGCGGCAAGGAGTATCAATACAGCGAAAAAATGACATGATTTTTCGCATGTGAAAAAATTGAACACATAGTGAAGATGATTTATAACGTATGCTGCACAATTTTAATATAACTGCCAGAAAATTTAACATGTTTTTTTCCCAAAAAAAATGCATGGTTATAACGGCAAATTTATTATGATGTAAATTTGAGCTAGAAGATCAGATAATAGAACAAGTAGTGATGGAGTTTAAATATCTAGGCATCATATTATCTAGCTACGGAAAGCTCGAAACAGAAGTGTAAGATCAAGTGAGTAGAGCAAACAGAGCCGCAGGTTGCCCGAAACAATATGGAGAAATAAAAATATCGGAAAAGAAATACAAGGCAGAATTTACAAAACAGACATCAGACCAATAATGACATACGCAGCAGAAACACAACCTGACACAGAGAGGCAAAAATTATGTAAGATAAGGCAGCGATGAAAACATTTAGAAAAATTGATAGTAAAACACTATGGGACAGAACTAAAAGTACATATATACAACGTAGATGTAAGGTGGAGAATATCAAGGACTGAGTAATAAATAGAAGAGTTGAATGGAACGATCATATAAACCGAATGACATCAAATAGAGTAATAAGGACGGCAAGAGACGGTTTCCCAACAGAAAGACGATCAGTAGGAAGACCACGTAAACGATGGAACGACAACTTACTGGAGGAACATTGAAAAATAGACAGAGTCATGTCAACATATAAAGAAAAAGAAGAAAGAAGAACATATGCGGGATGCGTGAACATTAGGAGGTCCACAGAGCTCTACGATACTTGTAGTAGTGGATGTTGCGCAAGTAGAGCTAGATATAACCGAACAAAAAATAGCTGAATGGAGGTTGCAGACTGGTTTGAGACCATATTATTGCCGCAAGCAATATGGCTGGAAGGTAAAAAAGTTATAATCGACGACAACTTGGCGTTTCACTTTTTAAATCATGTTTTACAACTGTGTGAATTTTACAATATTGAATTTGCGTGCCTTTCCAGTAATACACATATGTGTATCGAATTTCATGGATTTTTTTAAAACCGTTGTTGAAATGCTTTGACGGAATTTAAATTACGACACCCAAAGATTACTGGTTTACTTAAAGATCAATTTCTGTAGTTATTAAAAAAATGCTTGGAATTAATGGATCAGATGATTGTAAAAACTGGGTATAAGCGTGGCGATTGGGAAGAAAGTGTAATTATAAGAGTTTTGAAGAATAGGTTCGAGGCTTGTGGGATGGTTCCGTTCGATCCAAATAAAGTCTTGAGTAAAAGTATCTCAGACAACCATTATTTTGATTATGTAAAACCTCTTATTAACGACAGCCCCACAGACTATCTGAAGAATAGAAGTTACTAAACGCCGAAGTAAAATGAAACTTGAAAAGTAAAAGTATAAGTCGCCATTTTATAACGGCGGATGACAGCTCCTCCGATAGCGAATTACACAGCTATACTAGTGAAATACAAAATAAAATTGAAAATAAAGATTCTATGGAGAACCAGTCATATGAAGATGAGATGAATAAAAAACCTTCGCTTGCTGAATTGAATGTTGGAACTTACGTGCTTGAAATAATTATGTCAGATAAATGAAATTGTAAAAATAACGTATATCCCGGAAGGATACAAGAGAAATTATCTTTTAAGGATTATGAACTCATTGGACTTAAATTAGTGGATGAAACCCACAAACATCATAAAGTTGTGGAGACCATTGTTTTTAATGCACCTTTCGCTGATATCTTAGCAATTCTGAAGACCCCATCGGTTGAAATAAATAAAATTTTGTTTTCCTTTTATAATATATTCTTTTGACTTTTTTACTATTTTATATTGTTTTACTAGTTTGCTAAAATGTTTTTTACCTCAATAAAGTAGCAGTTTACCCCCAAATTATAATTGAAATATTTAAAAATTGGCTAGCCCGATTTAAAAATGGGATGACATTTACTATTATTATTACTACTATTACAGCTTTTATGCATTATCTAAACTATTTCAAAATCGGGTATCAAAGTCACCACACATCAATGGGTGAGTTTGATATAGGTACTCTTTTTTTTTGAGAAAGTCCTCATTAAAAACTTTTATTAAATAAACATAAGATGCGTCCCAATAGTGACTTTTACACATTTTTGAGATGACCCATTTAAAAAGTTACGCTAGAAAATACGGAAAAAATTAACAAACACTCACGTTACATTAATTTTTCGTAAACTTAATTTTCTTTATTTTAGGATATCCAACTATCGCAAAACTGACGTCGTATTAATTATATCAGTAATTTTGGTCTCATCTGTGTTATATTATGTTAAGTTTTATCCACAATCCGTATTTAGTGCTGAAGAACATCAAAAGCTTATTCCAGACCCAAAGAAGCCTCTACCATTTTCTGAAATAAGAATGGAGTTTTTTGAAAAAGCTGCTGTTATTAGTGATGCTGCTCCTTGTGCAAAGATTGGAAGGTAATAGAAGACATGGGTAGCATTTTTGAGATATTAGTCAGGGGCCAGTTAGGTCATCGTGGCCTTTTCAATTCTGATGGGTCCAATTAAATTTTTTTATGCATTTTTGACTGCTAATTACGAATTTCGAGAGTGGATTTCGATCCGAGTGGCCAAAAAAATTTTTATAAACAATTTAATGATTAATAAGGTCCCAGCTCGTAAACTGAGAGGTAATTTTTTTTAATTTCAACTTGTCCCTTGAAAAAAATATAATAAATAACTAAAGAAAATGGCGTTTACTACACGTTAATCCAATATCCACAAGGAAACTAAATTCCTGTATATGTATTTGGAATTAATATTCCATCGTCAATGCTATCTGGATGTACTTGTTTGAAACCACTAAATATAAGGGTAAAAACCCTTTAAATGTTGTTAAATTAACTATGAGTTACATTATTTAACTTTATAAACTATGATGTTTAAGTTACAACAGGAATATATAATAGGAGTAGATAACATGGCAACGTAAGATGCCACTGGAGGTTGCTAGTCCTGAGAGGAAGTGTCTACGAGGACTTGTTGATAGCAACTCAACACAAGCACAAATTTGATTTAAAATCTATCTCTTTTAGTTTACGAGCTACAGCCTTATGAACAATTAAATTGTTTACAACAATTTAATTGTTCATATAAATACTTACTGGCTAATACTGGCCAAAAAATATATAAAAATCTTGGGTGGACCCATCAGAATTAAAAAGGCCACGGTGGCTCTTAGCTGGCCCCTAGACTATATACTATATTTCGTATTTTTATAAATACTTTTAAAATTTTATACGTTATATAAGCATTACATATACGTTTGGATAATGGTTTGAATGCAGTAGTGCAGAACTTTTTAGAGCGGCAGTCAACAGAGTCCGCATAGCCATGATCATTTCCAACCTTCGATAGAAGATGGAACTTAAAGAAGAAGATACGTTATATATATAATGCTTATATATTATATAAGCTTAAGCTTAATGCAAAAACAGTTCCTTTTTATTCATCATCAGTGCAATCTGCTCAATTGCTTTATTCCCCACTACTTTTAATGCTTCCTGCATTCTAGTAATAGTCATGACTGCTAGATGTAGGTGTGTAGGCGTAGCTAAACGCCCTGCGGCAGCTGCACACATTACCCCATTATAGTATATTATATTCCACAAGATCGGTCTCAAGACATAACCCTGCGGGACACTGTTTAAGACATCGTCGCTCATCTCCCATATAAGTGTCTCGCTTCATTAGTTCTAGTATCCCTAAGACGCCATTTCTTCTGGTAAATTGTGCATCAGAGTGCTACCCTATACGAAATATCGAAGAATCCTATAGCGAATTAAGTACGAAGCCATCTGTTTCAGCCGACAGAATACTAGCTGAAATTTACCCATTTGTGGGTCTGCTGCAACTCAATGATATCGGATGTATAATTATAAAAACAAATAAATACGTTTATCCATAGTTATCTGTAAATTTTGTTGTCATTTATAGTCCAGTCGTCAGAGATTTGGCCCCTAAAAATCATACGAATAAGCTGAATTTTGCCGAGACCACGAAAAAGAAGCAAAAAGTTTTACACTTTTACCCCTGGGCTTTCCCCTAAAATCCCCTAGTAGAGAGGTAAAAACTCAAAAACTCGATTTACCAACAACCTGTACACCATAGAAAAAAATGTTTCAAACAAAAAATGTAGCTGAGATAATTTTAAACAAAGATCTTAATTAGCACTTTTCCTGTATAATGAACCGTTTTCTCAGAAACAACGCTTGAAGCGGCCGGCGATTTTGAATATCAGTTGCGCGCGCGAAATCAATGTTAAATAAAATGTGTACTAAGTTGACGGTAAAAATTCGATATCTTTTGATCAGAGTGCGCTTTCGACAAAAATAAAAATGCATTTTAAAAAGAAAGAGCCCAGCTTTCTTGTACAATTTTAGTATTTCGCCGAAAATAAAGTGAGTTTCTACAAATCTGTTCAATAAATAAAGGTTTCGCGACTTTTGCCATTTTTAATAATTCTCCTGAGATCAATAAAATTGATCACTACAAAAAACGCAGAATTTAAACTTTTACATTACACACGATCGCACGTCACGGGAAATGCATCTAAGAAGATGGTTTGAACTGTAATTTGTAGCAAAAGATGGATAGTTTTGAAAAACGTACTAATGTTATTAAAAAAGAGCAGTTTTAAATGTTTTGGATTGTTTATAATGTGAAAGTTTAAATTCTGCTTTTTAAGCCTATTTCAAATGACTCATATTTTGTTGATCTGAAAAGATCTGCGTTTTTAAATCTAGCAATATAAGATACGAAAAGTAATTTTGGTTTAAAACTAAACAATATTTGATGTTTTTCTCCTAATTTTAAGGGATATACTTAAGAAAAATGGTTCGGCAGTTGATGCATCCATCGGTGCATTAATATGCAACTCAGTAGTTAACATGCAAAGTGCTGGAGTTGGTGGCGGCTTTTTCATGACAATTTTTAAAAATGACGAAAAAAAAGTATACTGCTTAAACGCTAGAGAGAAAGCTCCTTCGAATGTGATGTCTGGTAAATTTAAGAATGATGGTGATCCACTGAACAGTAAGTATTAATCCTAATACATGGCGTAATAACTGAGTAGTCAAAAATAATATCACTATACCGACCTTAAGGCGTCATCGCGTTTATTGTCATTTATAGCTGATATTACCGGGCACACTAGAAAATTTTCTTCTACATTTTCACACAATCTGTATGTTACTTTGTCCACTGTGATTATTTTATAGATTGTATTTCAATGAACAACTGTGAATGATGTCCAGTGAGAATACTTGTGATTACTCTGTGTTCAGCCTGCTAAAGCTTTAAGAGTATTTTAATGTAGCGTACAGGTTGTAATTACCTTTTTACTTGCCTTTGGTCTACAGTTTTGGGATGTAATGGAATAGTGAAGCGCAACAAATAGCCACTCCTATTCAAATGTCAACCTCACCTGCTCGTATGATGATCTAGATCATGGTCTTCTGGTACATCCTGCTAGATAACTAACGAGGCTCTGACGTCCGAGTGTTTGCCGGGATAAGCAATCAACCATTTACTGGCCAACGGCTTAGGGCGGATGAGCTAGTAAGTGGAAGGACACTCTGTTGTCCTGAGACTAAGAAATTGGTCTCGAAGGCGGAAGAACCAAGAAAGTGGTCAACGGCATCAGAATGCAGAAGGCAACGAGAAACCACTGCATTAAAGGTCCCTGATGACATCTCTAGTATAAATTATAATGGCTAGCACTATTTGCGCAAGAAACATTATTGATTATGGTAATCGGAGACCAAAATCCGGCAGGGGAGGACAACCATCAGAACGCAAGGCCTCCTCGGTCGTCAACATGCGAAACCCTTGCACAAAATACCACAAAAAAAATACTCAACCCTCTCAGATAAAAATAGCTACCTGGAATGTAAGAAGTATGTATCAGCCTGGAAAACTACACAATGTTATTAAAGAGAAGGAGAGGCTAAATATAGATATACTTGGGGTTAGCGATGTACAGTGGTCAGGAAATGGAGAGATATCAATAAATAACCACAATATTTATTACACTGGAGGAGACAAAACTGATCATCGATACGGAGTAGCTTTTATCATAAGCAACACTATTAAAAAATCAGTGTTAGGTGTGATTCAAATCTCAGAAAGAATAATAATGCTAAAAATTCAAGCACGGAACTGTAATATTAATATGATCCAAGTTTACGCTCCCACTGCTGATAAGACCGAAGATGAGATCGAAAACTTTTATTTAGAATTGCACAATACAATCAAGTTAACAAAATCTAGAGATATTACTTACATTTTAGGAGATTTTAATGCAAAAATTGGAGTAGGTACAGTTGAAAATATAGTTGGACAGTTCGGACTAGGAACTAGAAACGAGAGAGGAGAAAGGCTCATAGAATTCTGCCAAGAAAAGAATATGGTAATTGCCAATACTTGGTTTCAGCTTCCTAAAAGAAGACTATATACATGGACGTCTCCTTCACATACAGAAAACCACATTGTCAGAAACCAGATAGACTTTATACTCGTAAATAGCAGATATAAAAACTCTATAACCTCAGTTAAAACTTATCCTGGAGCAGATGTTAACTTAGACCACAATCCGCTAGTGGCTGACGTGAAAATAAAATTAAAAAGAATTGAACTCAGAAAACAACAACCAAAAATTAACGTAAGAATGCTACAAAACGAAGAAATAAAAAACGAAATAAAAAATAATGTGAATGTTCATCAATCAGCCAATCGCGTCCACTGCTGGACATAGGCCTCCCTCAGTTCTTTCCAGTGTTCTCTACACTGGGCCGCTTGTAGCCAGTTTCCCGCTACACGTTTAATGTCATCGGTCCATCTAGTCGGTGGTCGTCCTCGGCTTCTTTTATAATTTCTGGGCCTCCATTCCATAATACGTCTTGTCCACCGTCCATCTTGTGTTCTGGCTAAGTGCCCTGCCCAGTTCCACTTAAGCGTCGTGGTTCTTTCGATGACGTCTTGAACTCCTGATCTTCGCCTAATTTGTTGGTTTGTTATGTGGTCTCGAAGGCTCACGTTCAGCATTGCACGTTCCATGGCTCGTTGTGTAACTCTAAGTTTATTCGCAGATTTTTGCGTGAGTGTTAATGTCTCTGCTCCATAAGTTTGTACAGGTAATACACATTGGTTATAAACCTTTCGCTTGAGACACATGGGAATTGAACTTTTTAGAATATGGCTTAATTTGCCAAATGCTGCCCATGTTAGACCTATTCGCCTCTGTATTTCATGTGTTTGATTGTCTCTGCTTATTTTGATTTCGTGTCCCAGATATTTGTAAGTGTCTGTTTGTTGTATGGTATTATTGTCAATAGTTATATTTCCACTCATTACGAGATTTGTTAAAATTTTAGTTTTCTCAAAGTTTATCTTTAATCCTGCTCTTTCAGACAGACTTTTAAGCGAATGCATCATAGAAACCGTATCTTGTAAGTTATCTGCGATTAATACAACATCATCTGCAAACCTTAGGTGATTTAATCTTTCTCCATCTATATTGATGCCCATATCTTGCCATTGAGTACCCTTAAATATTGACTCTAAAGCTGTCCGTGAACAATTTTGGTGAAATATTGTCTCCTTGTCTAACTCCTCGACCTAAGCTGAACTTTTCTGTGTCTTCGTGCAGTCGTATACTTGATGTAGCGTTCTGATAGATGTTTTTGATTAGTGTCGTGTACCTGTAATCTATTCGGCTTTGATTTAGGGCTTCCAGTTGCGTAAGTTTTCTTTTCATTATCTTTAAACCTTTGTTCTCTTCTACTGTTTGAGTAATTACATTAGTATTATATATTCTTACATCTTTTCTAATTTCCGCTGAAATTCTTTTATTTAGTTTTTTATATTCTTCTTTGTTTCCCTTTTCGTTCTCGCTTAGGTTTCGTCGTATTTCCATGAGAGCCCTTGTATCTTTGCTAATCTTTTCACTTTTGGTGTCATTTTTCTTGCAAAATTTGAGTTGTGCTTTTCTAACTGAGTCTGTTATTAATTTATTGTGATCGTCGATACTTAGAGGTTTGGGATTATTACTCTGTAAAGTTTCGGCTATATTTCTTATGTATGCTTCTGGATGATTTGGTGAATTCCAAACTATGCGTTTGCAACTGTTTATCATCTTTGCTCGTTCTTTTTGTAGATTAATCGTTACTCTATGTAATGTTAATATGCAAAAAACACTAACTGACAACAAACAAATTATGGATGTAAATAAAAAGTGGTGTAATATAAAAAACTCATTACTGAAACCAGCTCAAGAAAGTTTAATAGAACATAAATCAGAGGCTAAAAAACACTGGATGACAGAAGAAATACTATTACTGATGGAAGAAAGAAGGAAATATAAAGGAAAAGATCTACAGAAGTATAAAGAAATACAACGAATAATTAAGGAAAAAATCAAAACAGCTAAGGAAATCTATTTGATGAAGCAATTTAAAGAGATAGAAGAACTAGAAACAAAATATGATATGAGAAATATGCACAAAAAAATTAGAGAAGTAACTGGAATGGGTCGAAATAGACAGCAAGGACACATAAAAGACAAAAAAGGAGTACTACTAGTAGATTTACCAGAGAAGTTAAGGCGATGGGAGGAGTACGTTAGAGAACTTTTCCAAGATGAAAGAGGTGAAATGCAGAAAATACAAGAATTAAATCCTTTAGAGATACAGAAGATCACGATAGATAAAATCAAATATGCTATCAAAAACTCTAAAGACAATAAGGCAGCTGGATTAGATGAAATACCAGTAGAACTCTTAAAACTAGTGGAAGAGGACAACTTGGAAGTATTGTCAGATTTATTCAACACGGTGTACTGTCACCTCGGGGTAAATGGATAGAGTCTTGTCACCTTCTGTACCACCGTGTGCTCTGTAGAGGGCTTCGGAAACGTCGACGAAAGCCCCTCTACTTGAATCCATTTGCGGGGTATGGATTCGTAAAAGGTTTTCTTCTGATGAGCTCGTCTTGAAAAAGATATATTGTAATTATTAAAAAATTACAATACAAAATACATGAAAAGAAAATACATGAAAAGAAAATACATGAAAATGCAAAAAGTAATAAGTTCATAAAATCAAATTGTCTTTGAAACTCACAACACACTGCACTAACGAGGAAGGTCGGTGGCGTTGACGGCATCTCCGGCTCCTGCAGCTCCATTCTCGATCGGTGTGTCGACTCCTCCAACGGTTCGTCTTCTTCTCGGTCGTCCGGATCCCATCTGCCATATCCAACGGGGTTTCGCAGAGTACCAGGGTGCCGAAGCCTACGTGGTCGTCCAACCACTTTCGGTAGGGGGGCGATGACTGGGTCTGCTCCGGGACTTCCGTTGACATCTGGAGCTTCTGACTTCGAAGAAGGCTGGCTCGTCAAAGTCGCCTGCACGTCGAAGGCATCCGGTCTGCAGAAGGCCTCGATGTCGGAGTGTCAGATAGCATCCTAACACTCCGTGGTTCTCCCCGTTCTTCTCTTGACTTCAACCCATGTTGAAGTCAATGGTTGTAGCCTTCTGCTGTAAGTCAAGCTGGGTCGTGGGTGCGGATTTTAACCACGTTGTCGGGCGCCATGTCACCGCGGGGTAAATGGATAGAGTCTTGTCACCTTCTGTACCACCGTGTGCTCTGTAGAGGGCTTCGGAAACGTCGACGAAAGCCCCTCTACTTGAATCCATTTGCGGGGTATGAATTCGTAAAAGGTTTTCTTCTGATGAGCTCGTCTTGAAAAAGACGAGCTATTTCTTACATGACTTATGAGTCGAAATAAACATCAGGATGCAGTCTATGGTGGCTTGTCTTGACAAAGGCAAGATATTTCTCACACGACTAAATAGTCAAAATAAAACACTAAATATTGTTGAAATAAAATATTCAGCCACAGAGTATGAAAAGCTAAAAACGAAGCAGAGCCCCGAGAGCACTGAGCTCTCGGAGAGCCCGTGAAGGACTGACTTGATTGACCTGAAAATCGCCTGTTTTTATACTTTCTGAAGTAGCGATTAGGGATTTCCAGGTCAGGGAGGGGCCAACGGGAAAAATAAGGGGCGGGGCGATGCGTCTCGAACGTGAACTAGTCGCGTCCGAGAACAGTACGATACGGGAATAATACCACAGGAGTGGCTAAAGTCAGCATTTATAACCATCCCTAAAAAACAAGCAGCAAAAGAGTACTCTGATTATCGAACACTGAGCCTCATGAGTCATACTTTAAAAGTTCTGCTAAAAATAATACATAAGAGAATATACGAAAGGCTAGAGGAGGATATTAGCGAGACGCAGTTCGGGTTCCGAAATGGAATGGGTACTCGAGAAGGACTATTTGCCATCAACATATTAATTCAGCGATGTCGGGATGTGAATGTTGATCTACACTTGTGCTTCGTTGACTACGAAAAAGCTTTCGATAAAGTAAGACATGAAAAACTAATATCAATACTTATGAACAAGCGCATTGACAGTAAAATGATAAATATAGTGCAAACATTATATTGGAACTAAAGTGCCATAGTTCAAATTGATGGGCAACACTCAGAAGAAATGAGGATCTGTAGAGGAGTTAGACAGGGATGTGTGTTATCACCACTTTTGTTTAACTTATATTCTGAAGAAATTTTCCAAAACACGCTCAATAATATCGAAGCGGGAGTCACCGTTAACGGAAAATTAATTAATAATTTAAGATATGCAGACGACACTGTGATCATAGCAACGAGTATAGAGGATCTACAACATCTTATCGAAAGCTTGAGTATAAATAGTGCTGAGATGGGAATTACTATAAACGCCAAAAAAACGAAGTACATGCTGATTACAAAAAGGCCACAAAATATACATCACCTATTGACAATAAATGGTAACGTGATAGAACAAGTAGAAAAATATCAGTATTTGGGAACTTTGATCAATGAAACCAATGATCATACTGTAGAAATAAACAGACGAATAGAGATTGCCAGATCAGCATTTATACGAATGAAGCCACTCCTAACGTGCAAAAATCTAAATTTGGAGATCAGACTACGTACCATTCGCTGTTATATATTTTCAATATTATTATATGGAGCTGAGACTTGGACATTAAAAAAATGTAATTTAAAAAGAATCGAGGCCTTCGAACTCTGGTTATACCGCAGAGTATTGAAAATATCATGGACTGATAGAATTACAAATAAAGAAGTACTGGAGAGGGTTGGTAAAGAAACAGAACTAATCACCACTATACAAACCAGAAAACTGGAATACCTAGGCCACGTGATGAGGGGACCAAAATATGAAATTTTGAGACTGATAATACAGGGAAAGATTCAAGGAAGAAGATCTGTTGGCCGAAGGCAGAACTCATGGTTAAAGAATCTACGTGATTGGTACCAATGCAGATCGATTGATTTGTTTAGAGCAGCAAGTTCTAAAATAAAAATAGCCATTATGATTGCCAACCTCCGTAGGGAGACGGCACTCTAAGAAGAAGGTTTTCTATTTTCAGACATGATTCACTAAAGAGGTTTTTTTGTCAATAAAAGGAGTATAAGATCCTTTTACCATTCTAACTTGATTGTATCCACAGCTTAGAACATAAAATCCTTTTTTGAGTTTTACCAAAAGATCGTCAACTACTATCAATCATAGTAGATGTGATACGATTTTTCCTCGATAACAAGACTTTTTAGGAGATCTCTTTAAATTACTGTAGGAGTATTTCAGACGATTATTAATAGTATTATGTTAAGACCAGTATCCACTATTCCTACTATTTTGCGGTTTTGACCCATCAGTATAAAATGTGACGGCACCTTTTCTGATTTATGCGATTACGTTTTGTGTCAATCCAAAATCGTTTAGGATAAAACTTAGTTTGAGCAAAAAATTGGGGGCACGATCGCATTGCAACTTTGATTCCCAAACATTGAGCAGTTTTTGTAGCTCCATTATTGGCTTCTTGTTTCACCTTACGAGTACAGTATAAGTAACTATGGTTATGATAACTGTTATGTAAATCAAACTAATGAATCATTTTAGATTTCAGCCCACATGTTTCTTTTGTTGATCAGGTGATAATATTTGCGAAGTCACTTTACTTTAACTTATTGTGTCTGGACATGTCATTCATATAATTTCGGCCCAGTATTGGGCTGCATCGGTTCCATCTTTGTTGACGAGCCACAAATCTTCGAGATTACACCAATGGCGACAGTTTCTGCATGTAAGATGATGTTCCATGTTTTGTATATCTCCATATTCACAGTTTACCTTATTTTATTCTATTCTCCTCCATTTTGCCATGTTTTACTTTAGCAATCCCCAGGTATCCTAATCATAGTTTTCTACACTTTAAAGTCTGAGATTGGCAGGTTTATTGAATCTCGTGAAGAGGACGGTTCATCTTGCACTATTCTGGAGCTGTGTATGGGGTATACCCCTCCTACGCGATTTGTTTAGTCTTCCCTATGTGCTCTACTACATTTCTGTTACAGTTACTTTCACTGTTATCAGGTCAACAGCGCACGCCAGTTTCTTATTAAAGATAGTTAAAAGATATTTGACCTCTTATGATAATGATAGTCTTATTACATTCATGATTAAAGGTTAGATTGTTAGTTTCCTTCTCTGAAAGTCCTTTTTTGGAACACTAAATAATTATTAGGTTTAAGAACTTTGAATTTGATCAGCAATAATAGTATTATGCTTACCGATAATATGCATAGCTCATATCACGGAATCCTTCTATTTTGAGTTTTCTTAAATCCTAACATTGATCTTTGTAGACGTGGTAAGATTCCTTCTTGAGGATAGATAGATAAATATATTCTTAGTACTGAGCACGTATTAAATCCATTTGATGATGGAAAGTGGTATTCATTAAATGTCCCCTCTATGTCTATCAATACACATAAAGCAGCTTCTTTTAATAAAATGACAATATCTAAATTTTTAAGAAAAAATGCAAGACTTCTATAGTAGATTTGCCTGGTTAATGGGCAAATAATACTCCTATACTCTTTATAAGAAAAGAAGTTAGGCTAATAGGTCTATATGACTTCGGTTTCTCTGGAAGACGTTTGCCACTCTTAGGGACAAACCAGACCCTGTTATCTCGTTATGTCGAGAATATTGTGGAAGAGCATATTATCATCTCGTTTTTGTTTGTTACAATTCATGCATTACAATTTTAATAATAAAGGTTCTTTGGTCAATTTTGCAATTTAATATTATTGAGGCCTTAATTTTGTTGAGTTTTTATAATTTCGCAGTTATAAGAATTAATAAATATAATTTAATTTAGACGACAGGTCGATAACTGTTTTTCTATTTTTTGATCTTCCATTAAGCATCTCCGTTTGTGATATTAATAAAACGTTTCCTTTTTCTTCTCTAAGTGCCCTGTCCGTTGCGAACGTTGGCTATTAACATGGCAATTCTGATCTTGTTTGCGGCGCTTCTGAATAGTTCGACCGATGTGAGCCCGAACCACTTCCGCAGATTTTGGAGCCACGAGTGTCTTCTCCTGCCTGGCCCTCGCTTACTGTCTATTTTTCCCTGGACAATCAATTGCAGCAGACGGTACTTATCGTGTCTCAATATGTGACCTAGATATTCAAGCTTTCTTTGTTTAATTGTATTCACGATTTCTTTCTCCTTTCCGATTCTTTGGAATACCTCTATGTTGGTGACATGTTCGGTCCAGGATATACGAAGAATGCGTCGGTACACCCACATTTCGAATGCTTCTAGTTTTCTCGTGAGCGTCTCCGTCAGCGTCCAGGCCTCCACACCATACAGTAAGATCGGAAAAATGTAGCATTTAACTAGACGTAGTTTTAGGGGAAGAGACAAATCCTTGCTTATGAGGAGCTTTTTCATATTGCTAAATGCTACTCTAGCTCGTTCTATTCTCGCCTTAATTTCTATGGCCTGTTCCCATTTTGCATTTACGTTGGTGCCAAGGTACACATAAGATTCTACATGGTCAATTAGTATGTTACTTATCAGTAATTGTCAAGCAGGTTGTTGCTTTTTGCTTATTAGCATCCACTTTGTCTTCTTGAAGTTTAGTCTCAGGCCGTATTCTTCACTAACTGAATAAACTCTTTCCATTACTTGTTGTAATTCGTCTATGGTACTGGCAAGGATCACCGTATTGTCGGCATATCTTATATTGTTCGTTAACTCATCGTTTATTTTTATGCCCTCATTTGCATTTTCCGTACATTTGTTAAATATTTCCTCGGAATACATATTGAATAGAAGTGGGGATAATATACACCTCTGACGGACACCTCTTTTGATCTGCACGTTTTCAGTGAGTTCGTTGCCAATTTTTGCTCTTGCTTTTTGACCCCAGTATAGGTTTGCCACAATTCAAATGTCCTTATCGTCAATACCTGCCTTTTGCAGAATATCTATCAATTGTTCATGATTGACATTGTCAAATGCTTTTCTAAAATCTACAAAGCACAAATACACGTCCTTATCAACGTCTCTATACCGCTGTATAAGCACCTGGAGAGCGAAAATTGCTTCTCTAGCTCCAAGTGCTTTCCGAAAACCAAACTGCGATCTATCAATATATTTCACATTTCTCACATTTATCATATATTCGTCTATGAATGATCTTAGTGAACGCTTTAGTGACATGATTGATCAAGCTTATAAGCCGGTATTCATCACAGATCTGGGCATTTGGTTTCTTCGGGATTATAATAAATGTTGACTGCAGCCAGTTCTCCGGAGTTTTACCGCTATTATATATGTTGTTAAAAAGTACAACTAGATTATCAAGGAACTGTTTGTCTGATTTACATAGGATCTTTAATATTTCGCAAGGTACATTGTCCAGACCTGGGACAAACGTTTCTTACTTATGGTTTTATCTGTCATGTATTTTTATATTCTTGTTTTTCCCTTTTTATTATGAGATCCATTTGGGCCTTCTTTAGAGTCTTCAAATAACTTACTAATTATGTACTCATTTAAAAACATTTGTAGACGCCGCAATGATTGCTGTACCTGGAGAAATAAAAGGTTATTTAAGAGCTCATCAAAAATTTGGCAAGTTACGATGGGAAGAATTGGTGCAACCTACGATAGATATTTGCGAAAACGGATATACCATTGGCCAACATCAATATAACTCTATGATTTTAAATAAAGATATTCAACGGGATGAAAATCTTAGGTAAGGATTAATAAAGTAAGTACTCGTCCTTTCTTTCAATCTATAGATCCTAACATAATATGCGTAGCGAGTGATATTTGTTATAACATATAATTTTATAAACTTATAAATTATAAAGCTTGACTGCCGTATACAATTTTTTACTATGCACTACTGCATTTCCAATCTCATTTATACCAATTGTAAATACCGCTTTGTGACATTTACATGATTATTTTCTGAGATGGGATTTGATAAAATTTCTAAGAGATTTATAATAAAACATTTCCCATTTGCCGCGAATATTTTGGCTCACACTGTATACGTACAAGACAATAGAGTTTCTGTAGGTGAAGTCAGAATTGGAAAAAATGTTATTTACTTATCAGATATAACTGATTTATATTTTATGAGTGATTTTCGCAGAATATTAAAAAACCATGTCTTTACTTCTGTTTTGAGCTTATGTTTGAAATTTTACAAAAAATAGGTATATTAAGATTAATAATAAAAATCTAACTTCTTCTTCTAGTTCCATGACCGTTATCGATCGTTGGATATCATGTTGGCTACCATATTCGCTATCGTGACTTTATTGACAGCAGCTCTAAATAACGATGTAGTTGATTTTCCATACCATTGCCTTAGATTTTTCAGCCATGATGTTCTTCTTCTACCAGGACCACGATTACCTTGGATCTTTCCCTGAATGATCAGATGTAAAAGATCATATTTTTCAGGGTGTCTATAATATGACCGAAGTATTCCAGCTTGCGTTTCTTTATTATATTGACCAGTTGTGTTGTTTGGTTCAGCCGTCTAAGGACCTCCTCATTTCTAACTCTGTCGACCCAGCTTATTTTCAGTAGTCGTCTGTATACCCACATCTCAAAGGCTGTCAAGCGTTTAAGCATAGCCTCAGTTAGGGTCCACGCTTCTACTCCATACAGCAGGACAGGAAAGATGTAGCAAGATATCATACGAACTCTAAGGTCAATGCTAAGATCGTGACTGCAAAGTACGTTTCTCATTTTTACAAAGGCAGCTCGGGCTTGTTCTATTCGGCTTTTAATTTCTGCGGTTGGATCCCAGCTCTCATTGATATTACTGCCGAGATACACGAGTTTCTCTACTCTGTCCAGTGTGGCATCTCCGACTTTTATACCGTCATCATGTATATAATTTTGTTTGCTAACTATCATATATTTAGTTTTCTTAACGTTGAGTTTTAATCCATACTGATCACAAGTCTGTTTTATTTTGTTCATTAGATTTTGAAGGTCTTCTCCGCAATTGGCAAGGACTAAGGTATCGTCGGCATATCTAATATTGTTGACGGTTACTCCATTCACAATAATACCTTCGGTTGTCTCCATTAAGGCTTCCTTAAATATTTCCTCCGAATATAAGTTAAAAAGTAAAGGCGACAATTTACAGCCTTGTCTCACTCCTCTTTTTATATTTATTTCATCCGACAGTTCTTGTTCAACCTTTATTCTTGCCACTTGATGCCAGTATAGATTTGTAATTATTCGTAGATCTTTATCGTCCAATCCAGCTGTTTCCAATATTACTAGCATTTTGTTATGTCGGACTTTGTCAAAAGCTTTTTCAAAATCGATTGCACAAATATACACATTTTAATTTATATCTCTGCATCTCTGTACTAGCACCTGTATACTAAACAAGGCTTCTCTTGTTAAATCTAACTACAGAATATTTATAATGTATATATAAATCATATTTATATTACTCGTACGGCCTGAAATCACGTAACTGGCCTGAAGTCACGTAAATATTAAAAGAATTTTTGCATACGTTACAGGAATGCGTTTCCGTTGGTCAGCAATTTTTCCACAGTGGAATAAGATTTGTCATGATATTATGATATTTGTCTTGTGCCCAAGACTGAGATGTAGTGCATTAAATTCCTTCCCCCCTTTTAAATTTAATGTTTGTTTCGTCCCTTCTAAGTGTTTTCTGTTTTAGTGTGTTTTAAATTGTCCTTAATTGTTTTAATTCTAATATTTTATTTACTTGACTTTGCAATAATCTACTATTTTGCCAATAGAACTTTATCAAAGTAATTTGATAACTACAAGTTGAAAAATAATTGCACACCCACACAATTTGTACATCTAAACTTATTCATTGTCATAAAACTGTCACCTTCATAAAACAATTACTCAATAAATAACACACATTTCATAAATATATCTCTCGAATAAGTATAAATAACTTTTAATAATACAATGGTATATTACATCACTTTCATTTAACAAACAATCACACACATATCTCTGCTTCATTGGATCAAATCTATCTCCTCAAGAACTTCCCGTTTACTGTCAAACAACTACAATAGCAGAATTGAGTTCTCCATTCAACAATACATAGTAGTTTCAACCATGTTCTACCATCCATCAATTAATAGAGTACCGGCATCATTTATTTAACTTTGTATCGAGACCTGAAGATGCTTTGCATATTGTAGAAAGCGAAACCGGTCGTCTGATAGTTAAATTAAATTGATTGTGAGTAAGTCTTATTTATTATTTCTTTACCTATTTGAAATGGACTCACACAAGCAAAACATTCATGATTAGAAAGTATATATTTAAAAAAAAAACGTGTAACTTTTAAAGTGTACCTCGTAACATTCATTTGAACAGTAAATGCACTAACTTATGATTCTCCAATTTGGTTTAGCGGATATGCACCTTATACTCTCTCTGCAATTATGCAGGATATCGTTTTTTATCAAGTAATGTCAGATATTCAATAACAAGCTTCTGCGAACATATTATGCTATTTACATGGGCAAGATTTCATGTTTCTACATATTATATTCTCTACTGTTAGCAGTTTTTTATTACAGCTCAAGCTTATAAATATAGATATGCGTTATTTTTTATCATACTGCTTTTGTTAAGATTCTTAAATGTACCTGTACTCCTTTTTGTGCTCCACTCGTGAGATTACAATATTATTGTAGTACATGTAACGGAGGCATAGTTTCGGCGTTGCAACAATTTTTTGTTGCAAATGCCGACAATGCTTCCGACACTGATTCGCAAATAGAAGATAGTGATAATGATTTTCGGAGAACTCAGATTAGATTTCTAAAAAATATCTGATTTATCGCACTATTACTTGCTATAGAAAATTGAGTTTAGAGAGTATAATGTTATTGTTCTATATAACGTTAAAAATCTAAATAGGTAGCTCAGGCAACATTTTTTTTTAAAGTGCAATTTTCAAAATCTGTGTACAATTTATAAATATTGCTTTTACAGAGATACGGAAACTAGTACGTATAGCAGTAAAATAAACGTGTTTATACAACTTTTTTTAAATTCCTCTTAATATCAGTAAATTTACAGAGTAAAATGTATAGTCGTTACATTTTATTTTGTAAATTAATTGATAGAAATTAGATTAAGTAATTGATAGAAAAGAAGAAGAATTGGCGCCAGTGACGTCATAATTGAATCACTTATTTGAGAAACCCCATAAGTCCCAAAACTAAAACTTTCGGAAAAACAGAAAAAACTGTGTGAGGAAAACACGAAGATTTCTACATGTTAAATACTGACCTAATTCCATTTATATACTGCTTGCTGACTTTTTCTATCCAATATTTTTTGAAAAAAAGATTGAGAATAAGCTCTATTTAAGCTCAAAGTTGGTTGACTTATGGGGTTTCTCAAATAAATTGTTCAGCGTCACCTGAAACTAAACTTTATAAGGAATTAAAATGAAAAAAAAATACACATAGCACTGTAGTTTATATTAAAAAGTACAAAAATTTTATTACAATTAAAAAAAAAACGAAATGTGTGATCATTCATCTTCTTCTTCACGTGTATTATTGGTCGTTGTGGGCCAGTTGAACAATTCATTATAATAATCCTGGATATTTTCTACATCCGGTATATAACTTTGTAGTTTTTTTATATCAGCAATCTTCTTATAATTGATCGGAATCTTTCCACTGGGATATGCGAATGCTTCAGGCAATATTAGTGTATTTTTTTTATTACTGTTAAGCCTGAAGGTGTGATAGGTTAACCCGTTAATAAAAGGGTGTGCTACAACCAAGTTTGCGTTCTCGTAGGAGTGGTGAAAATGCATGAATTGGCTTATTTTTAGTTGAACCTTCCGATTCCTTGGAATATTTTTGCCACTGGATTCCGCGGATAACATGGTTTTTTTGTAGTACTCTGGCCACCAACTTTTGTAATTAATTACGTCTTCAGCATTGACCAATACCACATTAAAGCGGTTATTTTTACATGAAGTTTTTATCAGTTGTCCATATTCTTCGATGGTGTATATACGGTCTACTTTTCTAATTTTTCTTTTAATCACCGCAAAATCTCTATCACAGGGTAGGAAGGAATGACCCCTAATAGGAAAATAATGGTCAATAGTCTTAAATTTTTCGAGCGAAATTAAAGCGGAAAAAAACCTTAAAACAGTGTGGTTTTTATTTTGCGCCCCACACCCGTCAGAGAAAACATGAAGATATTTCACTAACGGCATGTTTTCTTTAAAATATCTCATGAGAAATGAGCAAACTTCATTCGGCCCCTTCGTACCGTTACCCTCATGATACAAGAAAAACGTCGCTTTTCCTGTTTTATTATTGTGAATACAAAAAACGTTCACTGTTACCTGGCGAAGATAGAAAACCTCTTGCACCGGAATTTGTGGCAATTGAAGATTCTGCATAAAATCTATAGAAATAACCCCAATTTCCTCGTTGGACTCCGCCATTTCTTTAACCAATTTCATTTGAGTTGAAAATTTCTTAGCTCGACGTAGATGAACCATTTTCTCGGCGACTGCAACTCTCTTTGCATTATCGTTTAAATGCGTACTATTTATTTTCATTGCAAGCCCCTCACACATACAACATGTGTCTACCTGAGGTCTTCCAAATGATAATTCAAAGTCTTCTTTAAAAACTTTTCTGTAGTATGAATACTTAACACTGGCATATTCCGGAAATTTTTCTGTAAACATTTTGTACATAAGGGTTGTATCTAGTTTCTCATTTAAATAATACTTTTCCTTGCTAGTATAATGAGCTAACTTTGTGGGATATGATTTAATATGTTCACGAATAGCATCTGTAATAATACCAGAAATTGCATTGCCTGGGGTATTTTTTCCTCGTTTGTCGAATGGTGATTTTCCTGCACTTAGAAGAAATACAAGTCGCCTCACTCGATCAATTGTTACTCCGTGAATAAAACAGAAGGCTAATTTACAAACGGTAATTTTTCTATTTCCGTGTGGAGTTGTCTGTCTCCCATCGGACGCGTCCCCAGGTGGTCGATAGGGGAACGCCCTAACCGGTCCTAGGACCGGCGGGTAGGTGGGAAATAAAATACCACCCGTGAACCAAAACGGACTAAGGTATGGTAACCCTAACAGAAGAGTCCCTGGCCCTCCAGGTTGGAGGTTGGGCTTAGGGCTAACAACTCTACCCCGTAAAAAAATATCGTTACGAAATCTACAGCTAAAGAAACCGGACGGAACTTACGACGACGACCAATGCAACGAAATAAGGACAAAGATTTAAAAATTTACACGTGGAATGTGCGGACACTTTATGAACCTGGAAATCTTAAAAAATTAATAGACATACTAACTCAATATAAAGCACACATTACTGCTGTGCAAGAAGTAAGATGGACTGGCCAAGGAATTATCCAAAAGAGACAATGCGATATATATTACAGCTGTCACAAGAATAATCACGAATTCGGGACCGCATTCATTGTTAACAAAAAAGTAAAACATCTTATTATGGACTTCAAACCAATAAGTCCAAGAATATGTTACCTAAGAATAAGAGGTAAGTTTTTTAACATCAGTCTCATAAATGTACATGCCCCAACCGAAGACAAAGAAGAGGATGTCAAAGATCAATTCTATGAGGAAGTAGAGACCATCTACGATAGATGTCCCAGAAACGACATCAAGATCATAATTGGAGATCTTAATGCAAAAATAGGGAAAGAAAATATATATAGTCCATACATCGGAAAATGCAGCGCTCATGACGTCACCAACGACAATGGAAATAGAATAATAGGATTTGCAGCATCCAAGGGCATGGTCGTTGGAAGTACCTACTTCCCCCATAAGAATATCCATAAAGTAACATGGACGTCGCCTGATGGTACAACCAAAAATCAAATAGATCACATCCTAATAGAAACCAGGCACTTCTCTAATCTAATGGATGTACGTACTTATCGTGGAGCTAATATAGATTCAGACCACTTCTTAGTAGGCGCAAAAATAAGAGCAAGAATCTCAAATGCAAAAAAAGAAAAGGGTAAGAAAAGTACTCGATACAATTTAAAACTCTTGAAAGAGCCCCGTGCACTAGAAAGGTATCAAAATTACCTTGAACATGAAAGCACAACAGATGAGAATTTAACAGCTAGCGAGCAATGGGATATATGTAGAAGAACAATTAAGGAAGCGGCAAACAACGTCCTAGGACCAGAAGAATCCACTCCACGCAACAGTTGGTTCGACGATGAATGTGAAGATATCACTAAAAGAAAAAATTATGCATATAAACTTATGCAACAAAGAAGAACACGGGATAAGGAGCAAATGTACAAAGATCTTAGGAAGGAGGAAAAACGCATACATCGAAGGAAAAAGCGGACCTTCGAAAACCAGATTATGCAAGAGCTTCAATCATTAAAGGGGCAAAATGAAACTAGAAAGTTCTATAATATCCTAAATAAGACAAGAAAAGAATTTAAACCACGGCTGACGATGTGTAGAGACAAAAATGGACATATAGTCAGTACCGCTGACGCAGTACAAAGCAGATGGGTTGAGCACTTCAAAGAACTACTTGGTACCGAAGTGGAAAATGATGCGTCACCCCAAAGACCAAGAAATAACACTCACGTAGAACCTCCTTCAATATTTGAAGTGAAAGACGCAATCACACGACTCAAAAATGGCAAGTCCCCAGGAGTGGATTGTATCCCCGCAGAGCTCATCAAACATGGAGGTAACAGCATTATGCACCAAATTCACAACATAATAGTCAAAGTCTGGGAAGAAGAACAAATGCCAGAGGAATGGTGCACTGGAATCATATGTCCACTACACAAAAAGGGAGATTTGTTGGAATGTAAAAATTATAGGGGTATAACTCTTCTGAATACAATGTACAAAATATTCTCCAACACCCTGTACAGCCGTTTAAGTACGTACGTGGAAGAAATCCTTGGTGAGTATCAAAGCGGTTTTAGGCCAGGTAGGTCAACAATTGACCAGATTTTTGTGCTACGTCAAATCTTAGAAAAAACCAATGAATTTAATATTGACACGTTCCATCTCTTTGTGGACTTTAAGTCAGCGTATGATAGCGTCCTAAGAGGTAAACTATACGAAGCCATGAATGAACTTAACATTCCCCATAAATTAATAAGGCTCGTAAAAACAACTATGAGTAAAGTGATCTGCAGAGTGCAAATACAAGGCGATATGTCACAAGCGTTTGAAACATATGCAGGGTTACGGCAGGGAGACGCGCTGGCGTGCCTTCTCTTTAATATAGCGTTAGAAAAGACTATAAGAGATGCCGAGTTACACAATAGGGGAACAATCTTTAATAAATCAACGCAGATTATGGCGTACGCTGACGATTTGGATTTGATTGCACGTACTACACGAGGACTTAAAGAGATGACTTCCACCTTCTTGACAGCCGCACAAAATATGGGCCTTAAAATAAACGAGGAAAAAACCAAAATGCTAGCATCTATTCCAAATAACAGAGATAGAGCTAGAAACGCCGAACAAAACTTCAGTATAGACCAATATAATTTTGAGGTAGTAAATAAGTTTACATATTTGGGTTCTCTCATAACAAACGATAATGACACATCTGAAGAAGTTAAACGGAGGGTACTGCTAGCAAACAAATGTTATTTTGGACTAAGCAAGCAGCTAAAAAACAGAAACTTAAGCCAGAAAACCAAACTAATAATATATCGAACACTCATCCTACCAGTGCTGACATATGGGTCAGAAACATGGACCATCTCCAAAACAGACGCAAATCTTCTGCTCGTCTTCGAAAGAAAGATACTAAGAAGAATAATGGGCGCATTCTGTGAGAATGGTATTTGGAGAAGGCGATATAATTTCGAATTGTACGAGAAATATAAAAAAATAGTAAATGGTAGAGATGTAATATCCTTCATAAAAATAGGCAGGCTTAGATGGGCTGGACATGTGTCAAGAGCAAATGAAAATTACCCACCCAGACGAACTCTATTATCGGTCCCAGTGGGAAATAGGAGTAGAGGCAGACCACGACTGAGATGGAGGGACGGTGTGGACGAGGACGCAAGGAAAATCGGCGCGGCAAATTGGCAACGGTTGGCGATGAACAGAAACGACTGGCGAAATAGACTGGGGAAGGTCAAGGCTCAACTAGAGCTGTAGCACCACTGATAATGATGATGAATTTTTCTATTAGGGGTTGATATGTAGTATACATAGCTACTACTTCTATTGGGTTTTGAAGACTCACCAAGTCCTTTTCTTCTACGTCGTTGCTTAACTTCAGTTGCGGAAATTAGGCTTTGTAAGTAACAATCTTGCTCATTTTTTGTAGTCAGGTCCCTAAATCGTTGGAAAATCTGAATTTTTTCATTGTTACTTATCAATGAAAAGCACTTTCTCCTGCACCTAAAAATTAAGTACATATTAACAAATTTAATTTGATCAGTCAACAAAAAATTGTTTTCAAAGAAAACTTTTTAATAGAAAATTAACAAATTATCAACTTACTTGCAATCTTTGGAGGATGGAGAAGGAACTGCAGAAACGTTCTTCCCCTTCCAATTGATGTATTCGTTTCTTTGACTCTAGCTCGTTTTATTATTTCATTTCTATATTCGTAGGGTCTTTTTATTCCTTTCTTTTTCTTATAAGGTAAATTAATATCGTTATGATCACTGTCGCTTTCACTCATTTTAAAATGTTTTTGTCAAGATATAATAGAAATAAGTAATCCACAATATTATTACTACTGTATGCGTATTCACTACACATTTATTTATCTACGTGTATTCACAACACATAACACAAGATTGAACTTGACTGAAAATTATTGGCATTATTGCATCATCCGTATCGACGACATGCGCGTGCAAGGAGAAATGCCTTTAGTCATGGACTTATGGTGTTTCTCTAATACATCGCCAAATCACACCGCTGTAACTAGGTTACGAATACACTGACTGAAGGCGTTCTTTACAAAATGTGTATTTACAGTTAAAATTCATTTTAGTGAAAAAACGATTTTGGTAAAATTATGACTTATGGGGTTTCTCAAATAAGTAATTCAATTGGACCTTAACCGTCTGGCAGATACAAACATCAAACGATACCGCTTTTTCCCACGCTCGGCAAAATTTTCACAGGCCCAACCGCTACACCTCCTGCTGATATGTTTTTGTGGAGTCCAGTGTAAAGTCCTTTTAATGTTTTTTTAATAAAATATTTTAACATAGAACCAGATTAAAGGAAAATTTCTGTATTTTTCTACCAAATGAGATCTCTCATAATAGTCATACTTTAAATACTTGACGTAAGTGAAACATTGTAAATTTTAAGCTCGTTACTTATATTATTGCTCTATTGTAGCATAGCTCTGAAGATGGCTTTGTAAGCCGACAGCGCCCAGCTAGGAAATAAATGTTTACACACTTCAAAAATAATTTTCTTTTCCATTCTTTGATTTAAATAATTAAAGTTTGCTTAAATTTTAAGGGAATGGTTTTCCGATAATAAAACACAATTTAAAAGACCTGGTAACAATGTAGTACCTACAAAATTATGTAATTTCCTTAAAATGTTGTCCAAGAACGGACCAGAAGATTTTTACACAGGCGAAATATCAAAGATTGTTCTTCAGGATTTAGTTAACATGAATAGTACTATTTCTGCAGAAGATTTAAAAAGTTACGAGTAAGTGAGATTTTATTTACTACTTCATCTGACTCCGATTTTAGTGATGAATCAAACATAAAGCATTATTTAAAAAATTTTTATTACATAAAATTTAATATTATTACAAAGAGTTTTTTTCCTGCAAATCTACTTGCAAAAATGATGTACCACATTTAGAATCAAATACAATTGTAAAATAAACTAAGTTGAAGGTTCCAATGTAACAAAAGTTTTGACGTTGTTTAAACCTAAAACCAAACCATTTCTGGTGCTTATAGTCTTCTTTGATGTTTTGTTGTTCCTGTTGTCCTTTCTAATCTGTTATATTATATTTTCAAGATTCAGATATTCATTTAATTCTCTTTGCGTATATCCCTATCCAGCAACAACTTCTCTAATTACATTTTTTTATAAGCTTCTATCTTGGGCAATATCAATATACATCCCTTTTACCGATATGTTCTTCCCAAATCCCCTTTACCGACATGTCTTCCTCTCTTAAATAATGAAATAATGGCCAAACCATCTTAACCCTCTTTTCTATTATTTTGGCATCAATTGGTGGGACCCTTAGATTTCTTCTAATATACTTATTATTAATTTTATTCTATGCTGTCACTCCACGTATCCACAAGAGCATTTTTATTTCCGCCACATGCATTCGTTGTTGCTTTTTAGGAAAAAGGAAAACGATTTACAACAGCAATAGTTAATCATCGTCTAGCCTGACTCAGTAGTCTAAAGTAGCAACCAGTTTATCTAAAACTTCAAATATCTAATCAGATACTGCCTTTCAAGGTACACCAAGCATGTTGACTATATATCGAATGCTGTTCAACATTATGAAGCTTAAAACTTAAACTGTTTCTTGGATAGTATTAGTTTTCTTTGTAAACTAAAACAGTTCTAACGAAATAACTTTCCACGGAGAAATTTTTAGTCAAGTGCATGAAAAGCACGTGTTTGGTCGAGGTTTTCACGCGGTCGAGTTCCAAGTAAATATTTTACATTGTCCTGACGTCACGATGTCTGTGGAAGGATCTGAAGGATCTGTATAGGCGTACACTATATATAGAAAACAATTTAGAGATTTAATTAAGATCAGTCTTCAACAGCCAGAGGAACAACTAACAGTGCAAAAAATCCCATCGAATGGAAAACCGAATCAAAATACCTGGAAGTCATAATGGACAAAGGACTGTCATTCACAAAACATGTAGACGCTATAATACAAAAAGAAAACATGGCGAAAGCATCAATACGTGGACTTACAGGTAGAAAAAGCAAATTAAGAAAAAAAAAAAAACCAAAAATGAGGCTAATAAATAGTATCATACTTCCGATACTAACGTACGCATCTCTCGCATGGAGACAGGTATGCAATACAAAAAAAAAATACAAGCGGTTCACAACAGCAGCTTAAAAGAAGCAGCTAATGTACCAAGATACGTTGTAGAACAATTCCTTTTCAGAGAACTGCAACAAATTATGATGACGGACATAATGAAGGAAAAATCCAGGATAAAATTCGCAGAACTGTTAAATAAATAAATAAAATCATCCGAGTCCCATACTGGCAGAGATCATGAGATACGACGTATTTCATCGATGGAAACACATACGCCCAAAAAAAAAAATGGTAGAATAAAATAAAAGGTATTCAGAGGGACAGAAATAAACACAAACTCTATAGAAAAAACAAACCCCAGAGAGAGAACTAATAAATAGACACCCGGAGAGAATACAAACCCTAGAGAGAACAACCCCTAGATAGAAAATAAGGAAAAAAGAGGACAGTTCATAGCTCTACCACCAATTCAAACTAACACAAAGCACTGTGTAGGACCCAACAATGAAGACCTTTCACTACGACATCCTACTAAAAAAATCAATAAAAAAAATAAAAAAGACCTCTGCCAACAAAAAAAAAAACAAATAATTTAAAAAACGCACTAACAAAAAACCGACGCCAGCCACCCAAAAAATTAATAAAACCCAAAAAACTGGACCCAAACTCTTAAACACCAATTCTCCGTACTGGGCAATAGCCCAGAGCGGAGGCTTCAGGACTAAGCAAGCAATTTCAGTTCCGCAAAAGAGTCATAAGAGGATCACAGGAATATAGCGCGTCACGCTGAATTTAAAATCGATTAGAGAAACATGTTGGAGTTCTATTACCCAGTACTTCCACATAAAGAACATTTGGCTGATAGTCGTGTTTTATGGACTCCTGTTTTACTCGAGTTAATACACCTCGCTCCAATGAATTGTTACACTCGAACGTAATTCTAGGGGCAACCATGTCTCACAGACTGGGTTTGACTAAATTGCTTGCTTGCTTGCTTGACCAGTCTGAAATATTGTATCGTCAAGTGATAAATAAAAATATTATAAAAACATAGTTATATTGTTAGTGCACATAAATTAAAAATGAGTGTTAGAAGACTGCAATAATAAGATAAAGACTATATAAAAGATAATAAAATCAATGTACATGTATCGAACATCAAATTATATAGAATTAACGAGCAATATAGAATAACTGAAGTCAAAATACCCACAAAATATTGTTAAAAAAGTCTATGTGGTATAATGAAGCCTACAAATTGAAAAAATTGTAATTTTTTATATATCCATGTGTGGTGAAATACTGTAAACCACTCAAAATTAATGGATTTGTTAAAGAAAACATGAAGACCCCAGTTAATTTTGCGATACAGTGTGCATTGCATTAGTCGTAGGGGTTGACTGAATATCATTGCTTATATTGTAAACATTTTGCTTATTGCATATATTTAAAAGAATAATAAATATTGGACATTTGTAATACTTTTAAATATTTTAGCGCAGTATGGCTGGAATCTATCAATATAATCTTAAACAATGGCGACAGATTTTATTCCTTTCCTGCTCCAGGTTCTGGTCCACTTGTAAGTTTCATATTGAACGTGTTCGATGAGTTTAACTTTACTAAAGAATCATGTTTAATGGAGGTGGAAAATGTCTTACAAATATATCATAAAATTATAGAAACATTTAAGTTTGCTTTCGCCAAAAGACCGGAATTGGGAGACCCAAACTTTGTTGATATAAGGGAGGTGTGTATTATATGTTACACGTAATACCACTTGTAATCAAATTAACCAAACTTGCATTGCACAACATTTTTTTAAACGACCTAATAATATATTACACGTGTTTTCTGTTTTGTCAACTTTTTTATATTAACTTTCTTTTCTAGGTTACTAATAAGCTGCTATCTAAAGATTTTGCAAAACTAGTCAGGTTTAAAGTAAAGGATAAAACTTCATATGATCCAGCATATTATGGACTTCGTTCTAACTATATAAATTATGATCAAGGTACCTCTCACATATCAGTAATAGCTGAAAACGGTGATGCAGTGTCTGTAACCAGTACAATAAATAAGCAGTAAGTACAATTTGTCTCCCATACATTATGTCGCAGCCAGATGGTTAAATTAGCCGTTCGATTAAACAGCTAGCCATTTGATTAAATAACGCCATTCAATTGTACGACTAGTTATTTTGTCGAATTTTTATGCAATTAAAAAGTTGAACGACATGGCTTATTGAAAAGCCGCCATATCATTGACGTAATTTGTTTCTTGTCCACCGCGCCGCTAGTAGCACCAGTTAAGTGGTTGAAAAATAGTCGTTTGATTAGAAAGTAAACCGAACGACTAGCTATTAAGTCAAATCTTTACAACATTCCAAAGTGATTCAACACATTGAATCAAAATAAGTCCAAGTGTTTTTAGAAATAAAAAATTTATGAGTTGGTTACAAGCAATTTAACTGAGCTCAAATTTAAAGAAACACTTTGAAGATAAATTGACTGATCATGAAAATTCCCATCAAGGTAATTATTGTAATTTTATTATTTTAACCAATAATTTCCTATTAAATGTAAACAATACTATTACATAAGTCAGAAATGACAGAATGAGACGTATACATTATTTATTCCACACTGAGAGAAAAGGCTCCTGATATTTTACACTCAAAAAAAGTTTCAATAAATATAGGTACAGTATCAAAAATGAGTTGGTAGTTCAAAACCTTAAAATGTTCTGCTCAAAAATTATTATTTTCTATAATTTATTTCCAGGATCTTCCAGAATACCTTGGACTAATGAAAAAAGTAATATTCAATGTAGAAAATGCAATGGTGTCCATGACTAACAAAGAAAACAGGACTTCTATGTCTTATTATCGGCTATCAAAATACGAATTCATGACAGTAGACAATGAAAAACATCTTAAAATTTAAATGACAAAATCCTGAAGACCCCGTAATACGAATTATACCCAAAGAGGAATATTTTTATATATTAAATACTGTACATAAAGATTGTGGGCATGGAGGTCAAGACAAAATGATATTTAATCTTAAGAGACGATAGTATATAGCAAAAAAGCTAATGAAATATTTGTATCCCACACTCTGTCTCACATGCAATAATAAGAGAAATTTTTCCAGAAAAGGTATAGTAACACGACCTATTGTTTCTCAAGATTTAATTATTCGAGGACAGGTTGACTTAATTGATTTTCAATCTTGTTCTGATGGCGAATATAAATGGCTGCTCAATAAGAAAGATAACTACAAACATTTTGAATCTCCGTCCACTGAAAAAGAAAATGGAAAGTGAGGTAGCAATGAAGCTTATGGAAAAATCTTTTGATGCTCCATATATTTTACAATCTGACAATGGACGACAGTTTACGCAAAAGTGATAGAAAACTGGTTGCACTCTGCCTGATTGCAAAATTGTACATGGTAGCCCAAGGCGCCCTCAAACTCAGGGCAGCGTTGAACGTAGCAACCAGGACGTGGAAAATATGATACGTTCTTGGATGACGGACAAAAATTCGACCAAGTGATCTATTGGTTGTTTGTTTTGTCAGTACCAAAAAATTCTTCATTTCATCGAATCATCGGAGGTCTCCTTATAAATGCATTGTTTGGTAGTGATCCTAAAGCTGGTTTAAAAGGTACTAATATACCCTCCCAATTGTTGATGAACATTGAAACAGAAGAACAGTTACAAAAATTAAAAAATGGGAAATGTGACGATAGTACTGAGATACAGCATCATAGTTTAAACACCGAGAGATCGAATGTAGCATGAAATGATGAAACTCAAATCACAGAGACATTACTCGAACAACCTGAAAATCCTGAGAATTGTGAAATCATTAATACTGATACGAATCTAATAAGTAATAATGTTCATTTAGAAATTATAGTGGCTGAACTAGTTCCTCAAATCTAGGTGACAATTACTCTACAAATGTTGATACTAATAACATTGACGAAGAATCTAGTCAGTTAAAGAGGACTGAGTACATTGAACCAATTTGTGTCACATGTCAGAATCCTACCACTAGAGGCCATAGCTGTAAGTCTTGCAATAATCCTGTTCATGTCACATGTGGATTGTCTGTAGTAGGAGGGAAGGTTTTGGTTCCACATTACTGTGTTTTAGATGCAAAACGAAAGAAAACATACTATTTCAGAGAAATGAGGCCCACAAAGTTTAAAACGTGCAGCTGAAAAAATGGTTGAGAACACAGCAAAAACTGACACCTCTACTTATTGGCAGTAGTGTCCTGATAAGTGTACCGAAAGTGGATCGTGGACCTTTCGACACCAAAAATATCAAAGAAAAAATTGTGGATTTTACAAATGGAGTTTATAGAATAGGCACAAAACAGTAACTGAATAAGTTGAGGAGGGGAGAGTTGATGGAATAAATTTGATAATAAATAAATGATGGCGTGTTAAAAAAACGCTCAAACACTTCAATTAATATTTTTAGTTACACAATAAAAACTTTTTATACAAGATGTGTCATGTAACAGTGGCCAATACCAACTTTCTTATTTCAAATACGACATCCTGTCTATTATTTATTTTGTTGATTCCTTATAATATTCTAGATTTATCTTATATAAAATCTCCCTCACAGTAGATCCGCTGGATATGTGCACATTGTCGTCATTCATATTATAGAAAATAAACCAAAACATGTAAGCCAATGTTTCGTCGGTCGATTATAAAAATACGGCTAATATTATACTGGACGTTTTTATACTTCGCTTTTATTTTATATAATGCATTTTGAAAACTGGTTATACCATTATGAAAGTTATTTTCCAATTTTTGGAAACTTACAAGTGGTCCAACAACACACAGTAAACAAATATTTAAACCATAAAATAGTAATCAGAAATACAAGTGATTTCATTGCATATAACCAAATATATGGGTTATGATCCTAGTTAAAAAAAATAATAAGTTAAAAAAGTAGTCAGAATCTAATATGCTTATTATAAAAACCCTTAAAAAATATTTCATATCACTTCGTTGACGTTGTTTTAGCCATATTTAAATAACTAAATATCAATTTAGAGGTTAAAATAAATATTATATTATGTGTCATTAGCTAATAAACAAATTTTTACTCTAATAAACCGGAGACAAAGGAAACGGTTATTCGTTACAACAACTGTTTGTTAAAAAATATTCGATTATGTTAAGTACGAAAAAGGATTGAATATTTAAATGACACGCAAATAATTTATAAACCATAGATGAATAATATAGTCACACTACAAACGCGGTCAAAACAAAACTTTTAATTGTCAGTAGGTTAATTCAAATATTATCTTACATCGATATGATCAAACGCAACACGTCGTACATATTACAACATGACGTTTAGGAGTGGCCTGAAAAATGTATTATATTTTTACAAAATTTTGGAGTACGCTTAATTCGCAGAAAAATTTTAAGAAACAATTTTAAGATTTGTTTTTATTACAGATTTTAGTCCTCTACAAATAGGAATTTCTTGTTGAGTTTCCTATGGCTCGTTTGACGATTTACCATATATATAGATATATATATATATATATATATATATATATATATATATATATATATATATATATATATATATATATATATATATTTATGATGTGTTTGAGTAAATTTGAATGATATATGTAAGTATAGGGTTTTTATCGCAGTTCTTAAAGAATTAGTTTGTAAGTACTTTTTTAAATTATCTTTATTATAAATATTATGAAACAAACCTACCTATCTAATATAAGCAATATCAATTTAAAACAATCTATCTAAAATTTGAAATTCTTACAATTATTAAATTATTAACAAAATTTGGTACAGTTGCGGTCACGGAATAGTTTACAGGTTCACGTATCTAGGAGCCCATTTTTTAAATTTTTACTTCGTTTAAACGCACCTTTTACGTCAAAGTGACGTTGCCAGTGGTGTACTAGCTAGAATAGGTAGATTAAAATTAAAATATCAAAATATTTTACAAAATGAAAAATATAGAAAACAGTTTTTTGAATAAAATGGATTATGATCTTAATAACGAAAATAAAGAAGTCTTTTTTTTTAATATGCATTTTATTTTAAATCTATTTTATATTAAATAACGATAAACAATGATAAATAATAATTAATATTTGGTGGAAGCCCCATTCTTGTCAATACAATTTTGCAGTCTTCTGTTCATAGATAGCACCAATCCCCTCATGTTATAGTTAACAAGCTCTTCCCATGCCTGCTCAATTGCTTCCCATAATTCAATTCTATTCCGTGGTCTAAGGTTTCTTTCATTTAGTTTCTTTGTTAACTCTGCCCACACATTTTCGACGGGGTTAAAGTCTGCACTACGGGAAGGCCACGGAAGAACATTAACATCAGTTTCTTCTAGCCATTCTCGAACAATTCTACTCGTATGCACCGGGCAATTGTCATGTTGGAAGATAAAGTCGTTGTTGGGGAATCTCTGGATCACCGATGGCAACATTGTGTGCTCAATAATATGTTTGTAATATAATCCTGTTAACTTCTCCTCTACATGATAACAAACGCCCGGGCCTTCGGCACTTATCCATCCCCATACGTTGACAGAGAATCCTCCACTATTTCTTAAATGATGCGTATACTGTTCATCATACCTATGATTTCTCGGCCTATAAACTCTTATTCGACCATTATTATACGACTGAAATACTTTTTCATCGGAAAATACAACCCTAGACCAAAAATTCTCATCGCGGTTTATAAATTCATTACAAAATTCAACTCGTCTCCTCTTGTGATCCTCAGTCAAAAAAGGTTTCCGTGCAGCTACACAATTTAGCAGTCCACTTGCTTTAATTCTTCGACGTGCAGTGCGAATACTGCCTGGAAACGCTGCCTCTTCTCTTGCCTTTTGAGCTGTGGCAAAAGGAGATTCTCTCAAATAATCTACTAACATCTCATCCTGTTGATCTGTGGAAATCTTCTGCCCTCCTGAACCGCCCAACCGTGCTATAGAGTGAAAATTATCCCATCTTTGTTTAATCTTCCATATGCACATATGACTC